GAGATATGAAGCCTCAAAGGCTAGGAAAAGGAAAAAAAAGAATAATAAGAATAATCTTAATCATCAGAATCAGTAGTAGGTCTTCCGTTGGAAACGGAAGACCTTACTTATGTCATTATATGATGACACTATAAAACATCCTCATGCTTAAAGTGCCTCTCGTGGTTAATACTACTGTGTTCTGGATAGTAACTTAAACATTATCACATCACTTCTACAATGCATACTTGATCTGGGTTTTTTTTTTTTTTTACGCCCCCCTATTTGAAGATTTAGTGGTATATATTTATTGCCCTTTCCGTCTGTCTGTAGTGTCTGTCAGTCTGTCCGCAAGAACTCTACCATTGCCCACAACATTGTTGTAAGGAACTATGCCTATCATTTTTCATGTGTATTCTGTGCAACAAGGCCATTCTTTGGGTACCAATATATTTGACCTCTTGACCTTTCTTGCAAGAATATGCCAAACCTTTACTTTAATCATAACATTCAAACAGTTGATATTAGGGCTTTCACATTTATATTCATTGAAACAAAATTGCTTTCCATAGATATAAATATTTCTGACCTTTTGTCCTTGAGTTTCAATCATTTAAAAAAATATGACTTTGGACAAAATTTTTGAACAGTTACTACTAAGGCCTTCATATTTCACCGGTGTATTCCTTTTGACAAGTCCCTCCTTTGGACAAAAAAATTTTGACCTTTGACCTAATTTGGAAAAACTTTAACATTTGCCATTATTTTTTAACAGTTGGAGCTATGGCTTTAATATATTTCAAAATGTATTTCTCAAGACAAAGCCTTTCCCTGCATATGTTTTATTTGACCCTTTAACCTTGACCTTGGAGTCTGACCAATACTTTAAAAGATTTTACCCTGGCCTTAATTTCTCAATGCTTAGTTCACAAGCTTTCATATTTCATAGGTATTCATTGAACAAGTCCTTTCTCTGGATAACAACATTTTTCATCTCTTGTCTTTGGACTTTGATTTACATCTGAGAACTTTTAATCTTTGCCAAAATCTGCCACAAGGGGCATCATTTTTCTCAAACACATCTTGTTTTTAGCTCACCTGAGCCGAAGGCTCAAGTGAGCTTTTCTGATCACAGTGACCTACTTCTGTCTGTCTATCTGTCTGTCTGTCCGTCTGTAAACTTTTCACATTTTCGACTTCTTCTCAAGAACCACTAGGCCAATTTTGACTAAACTTGGTACAAAGCATCCTTGAGTGAAGGGAAATTTAAATTGTTAAAATAAATGCCAAGTCCCCTCACAAGGGGAGATAATTGAAAGACAAAAATAGGGTGGGGTCATTAAAAAATCTTCTTCTCAAGAACCACTGGGCTAGAAAAGCTGAAACATATGTGGAAGCATCCTGGGGTAGTGTACTTTTAAATTGTTCAAATCATGACCCCCGGGGGAAGGGCGGGGCCACAATGGAATCAAAGTTTTACATAGGAATATATAGGAAAAAATCTTTAAAAAACTTCTTCTCAAGAACCACTGGATCAGAAAAGCTGAAACTTATGTGGAAGCATCCTGGGGTAATTCAGTGTAGATTCAATTTTCAATCATGACCCCCGGGGGAAGGGTGGGGCCCCAATGGGGAATCAAAGTTTTACATAGAAATATATAGGAAAAATCTTTGAAAATCTTCTTCTCAAGAACCACTGGGCCAGAAAAGCTGAAACTTGTATGGAAGCATCCTTATAGTGTGAAAATCATGACCCCCAGGTGGTTCGGAGACACAATGGGGAATCAAAGTTTTACATAGGAATATATAGGAAAAATCTTTGAAAATCTTTTTCTCAAGAACCACTGATCCAGAAAAGCTGAAACTTATGTGGAAGCATCCTGGGGTAGTGTATTCTAAATTGTTCAAATCATGACCCCCAAGGGAAGGGTGGGGCCACAATGGGGAATCAAAGTTTTACATAGAAATATATAGGAAAAAACATTAAAAAAATTCTTCTCAAGAACCACTGGGCCAGAAAAGCTAAAACTTATGTGGAAGCACTCTGGGGTAGTGTAGATTCTAAATTGTTCAAATCATGACCCCTGGGGGAAGGGCGGGGCCACAATGGGGAATCAAAGTTTTACATAGGAATATATAGGAAAAATCTTTGAAAATCTTCTTCTCAAGAACCACTGGGCCAGAAAAGCTGAAACTTACATGGAAGCATCCTGGGGTAGTGTAGATTCTAAATTGTTCAAATCATGACCTCCGGGGGAAGGGAGGGGCCACAATGGGGAATCAAAGTTTTACATAGAAATATATAGGAAAAATCTTTGAAAATCTTCTTCTTAAGAACCACTGGGCCAGAAAAGTTGAAACTTATGTGCACATGGAAGGATCCTGGGGTAGTGTAGATTTCAAAATGTCTGAATTATGATCAGTGGGGTAGGGTGGGGATGTTATGTATTACAAGGAGGAAATCTGGTAAAGAACAGAATGGTCAAAGCTTCTCAGGTGAGCGATGTGGCCCATGGGCCTCTTGTTCACTTAGGAATTATTATTTCTAAAACAATTTAATTCAGAGATGTCAAGACTGATAAGAACTGCGAACGATAGTATTGTTCTCCCGCCTACCTCCAAGTCAATTTTCAAAAGTTAACATATTTGATGAATTTTTTATATTTTTTATAGATTTTCATAAAACATCACTTATTTGGAAAAACAAAGAGAGATAACTCTAAAATTTTGGTAAAACTTGTGTTTTTCACTATAGAAATCAATGGAAAACAGAAAATATTTTTAAAACATCTTCCTCCCCCCCCCCGTGTCACCAAAAATTCTTTTTACAGGTAATATGGAATAGTATTTCACAAATTCATACCAAAGCTTTTTGTGTGACACGGAGGGGGGGGGGAACATATGTTTATTGACAAAAAACGATAAAAATGCTTATTTTCCACCAATTTCAAAGCGATATACAACTGAAACATTATACTTTATTGAAATGTTTCTTTGTTTTATTTATTTGCCTAAAACATAAGAAAAGATATCAGGAACATTTAATCATATCCAAGACTATTACAAAATACGTTGATGCTTGAAACTCCCATTTCAATGGAAAATATCGTCTACCACCCTTTTTTTCAAGAGCTGGAATTATGGAAAATTTACTGTTCAGCGCTGGTATTAGGACGATTTATCAATTACCATTGAACTGTTCTTTGTATTAAACAAAGATTTTATGGCCAAATTGCTATTCAATTTGAATCAATTGGTTCCAAAATGTAGGCGGGAATCGAGAGTTAGCGTGCGTGTTTCTTTGCAAGCTTGACAAGCTACAGTAACACATCTTTCAACATGGAAATGGAAAAAATTTCAAATCTGGTAAACAATATGCACTTTACTTTTAAAGATTTTCTGGTGAGAAACAGACCTATTTAATATAAAAGCATCAGACTATATTTAAGAAGATGGGGGGACAAGGCGGGCAGAATGCCTATAGTGTCCAATATTAAGAAATCATATTCAATATGTGAATTGAGTATTTGAATTAACTTCTCATTATTGAAATTTATGAAATTATTAGAAAAAATTTTTTTGAGAGAGAAAAATTATCGTAAAAAATTCCTTTTATAAAAATATTATTTGGCATTCGTGGGATTCGAACCCTAGCAATAAAAATCATACTGTTTTGAGATTGAGACTAATGCGCTAACCACTATGCTACATGGCACATGATGATATTGGGCATTTAAATCATGTTTGTGATATGACCCTTGACTTAATGGACTTGAAGTATCTCTCGGAAAGATTCGAATATTTTGCCATAAAAGTGTACTCTAAGGGTATATTGGGTCTTCGCTCCATGTTTTTGTTAACCAAAAAACTGTATATTCTATTGCAAACTTTTAGGATAAAAAAAAATGGAGCGAAGACCCACTCATATTGAAAAATTTTGTTTAAGTATGAGAAAATGATCGTTTTTGTTCTTTTTAGTGTGTGTATGCTTTTTCACAGGCAAATATTTTCTGTCTTTGTGAGATTTTTGTAAATTGTACATATTTTACATTAAATATGTAGGACTCCAAAGTGCGATGAGACTCCAAAGTCCGATGGTCACGCCAAAGTCCGATGGTCTGTGTCAAACCCCGATGGTTTTACACGCCAAAGTCCGATTACGCGGAAAACAGTTAACGTTTATGATGTCATAGTACTGCTGTGCCAAACTGCGATGCCACGCCATGCCAATATATAAATACAAAATATCATAAATACAAATACTAACCCTCATCTTTTGGATGCGAAACTAAGACTTATCAGTCGAACAATGAGTATCAACTCTAACCTAACTATCATAGTGCAGGACCAATCAAAATCTAAATCAGTCCAATAGTGTGTGAGTTCTAACCCTAAAATCTCTAGGGAAGAAACAGTGTTCAAGGTGTTCAAGGACTAACCCTTATCACTCGAATGGTGTACGAGGACTAACCCTAATACCTCTTGTGGGTGAAAACAAAAAGCAATATCCGTAAAAACGTATATGAGACGAATACTGAATCAATGGATTTTGAATGCAGAATAACATCATGACGTCGGACTATTGTGACGTCATAAACGTTAACTGTTCCTCCGCACCTTCGGAGTTTGGCGTGTCAGACCATCGCACTTTAGCGTCTTTGGCGTCCGTAAAGACAGCGAGCCATCGGGCTTTGGCGCAGACCATCGGGGTTTGGGGAGACCATCGGACTTTGGCATCACCATGGCACTTTGGAGTCTTACAAATATACTTTATTATTAGATAAAATATCAAATAAAATTTAGATATAATTGAGATTTAATTTTTCACTTGTTATCTGTCGCACTTTAGGCACTTCGCCCGCCTTATCCCCCCATCTTCTTTGATAAACTTAACTTGTTGTTCACATATGCTGCATAGGGATTAAAATATACCTCTCCAAACACATAGTTCTGATGAACTTCCCTTTATAAATACGGAAGGAAGGAAAGTTTAACATATCCCATTGGTTACAAAAACTTACCATTTGCATCCAATGGAATGACATCCTTTGCATTTAATACTACAAGAGAAGGTAAAAACAAGTTAGTCAATTTCTACAGACACAAAATCTTGTTGCTCATAACTCTCTTCAACAGAAATGCCTTTAAATTGTTTACTTTTTTCTGACAAGTGCTAAAATGCAATTTGTACACATGTATCTTAATTCTTAAAAGCTACATAAGGAATAAGAAATATTATCGGCTGTACCTACTTTCAACGAACATGGTGCCTGTTTCATTTCTGTAGCACATTCTAACATTTAATACTCCAAATTCTTTAGATTTAAACTCAGCCTATCAAAAAGATAAACATGCATAATTCAGATCATGCACAGGTTAGCTCAAATCATCTTCATTAACTTCAGATATTGAGACTGAAATCATTGCACAAAGACAATTTAAGTGAATATATAAGAATAAAGTTCATAATGAATTTTACAAAGCACAATTAATTTCACTTAGTACCTCTATTAATCCGATCAAATTCATCATAATTGGCATGAAACTCTTCTGTTGTTAAGGATAGTGTTACTTAAAACTTTGCTTTCACAACACATTTTCTTCTTTCAAAAAAAATCTTCCAATGCAGTGGGTATATATAATTCAGTAATTTCATGCCCATTCAATATTTTTTTTCGCTGCTCCTAGGCCTTTTGATTGATCATTTGATTGTATGCTGTTTTACATCCCTTTCAAGAATTTGATACTCATATAGAGACGTCATCATAAACTGGTGAAAGACTTCAAATTTAGACCTTTATGTGGCACTCATGGCCACTGAGCAGTGGGCCAACAGATTTCGTTACACAGGGCCTAGAATTTTAAGGTCTCATCGAATGCCAAAACAGATGAGCGCTTGGCAAAGGAAAAGCTCTTACTTTTTTATACACAGGGCCTAGACATAACCCAATTATTTGTTAAAGTTGACCATTTCAAGAAAACAATTAATCTTACCCACAAATTTCATTAACAAAAGAGCTGTCCTGGGACGTGGCTTGTTTATCTTTTTTTTATGTTAAAAAAATGATTGTGGCAAAGGTAAAAAAGCTCTTACTTTTTTATGACTTAGCAATTCCTCATGTTTCCTCCTATATGACAAACAACAATGTGTTTGTTAAATTACCAGCAAAAACATTCTAATTTCAATTTATTGTAACATCAGTATGAGTATTTGTAAAAGTTATTATAATGTAACAATAACCTATCAGTCTGGTAGCATTCTTTTGACAGTTTATGGAGGAAAAATAAAACATATATTAATACATATAGTCTTTATTCATTCAATGCAACCAATTATTTAAATTTTAAAGTAAATTGACCATCGGACTTCTAAAATTTAAGAAAACAAAAAAAATTTTAATCTTACCTGTTGTTTGAGTTTCTCTTCGTAGAAAATTGTAATTAACTTCAAAGTGTCTTTCTTATATAGGGACAGCAATTTTTTCAATTTCTGCAATGAAACATTTATAGCATCAATTCAACATCACTTTAATAGCTGGCTACATTTAATTTTAAAAAAAAATTACACATACAATATACTCTTCTATTGTTATTTTCTTCATTTCTAATCCTTTCTCATCAGCATGAAAGAAATCTACCAACAGTCCTAAGGCTTCATACATTCTTTTGTATATGACAGGCATCCTCTATAAAAATAGAACAAACATTGTTAGCAATAATATATGTACAACTTCCCTCGCCTTTCTTAACAGAGGCACAACTAACAACAGTTCATCTTTCCCTTACCGATTCTTCCGTGACTAGAACGTCGTTGAATTCCTCGAGGACTTCCACCCAGATGGACTGAAGGATCCGGTCAAAGTTGGACTTAAGTAGGTACTGGTTCAAGGTCAAAAGGTTACTGTCCAGGTACTTCATCAGATCCTCAACAGCCTGAAATGATGGATATATACATTGTACCTACGGCCTTCATCTGCAGTATACTAGTACTCAGAAATATTCACTTCCGTTTAATTTTTTACCACTTTCACCCAGGTCAAAAGATGGAGCAAATTCAAAGACATATAATTTCTTAATCAGAAGTGTAAATGGTATAACTAAATGGGCAAAATTGTCAGCAAGTGTATACAAGAACAACAATACATTGTATTATGGGGTGAAAATAATCCTGAATTAAGTATAATACTGCTAGGGCTGTGTATTGAGCAAAAAAATTCGATACGATACGATACAATATTTTTTAAAGCGATATGCGATATATTGGATTCTAAAACAATTCCATCAAAAAAGGCTTATTTATCATTAAATGCATGGATTATATTAAAAAATTAGTGTTTTATTACCCATTTCAAAGTTCTTGTCCCATAATCAGTAAATAAAACACCTCCAGTCGAAACTTTTAATAATTGTAAAATCAACATGTTAAAATAAAATTGTTATGCAATTTATAATAACTATATAAAAACTGTATTTCTTTAATAAATCTATAATTATTGATCAGTTTTAATTCAAAAAAGTTAAATATAATCTTTGCTGATTAAAATTCCCATCTTTTTAGCAGAATTAGAAGAAAAACTGCTTGTCCGATACGTATTGGAAGTAATTTTTATATATCTTGAATATCGATACGTATCGATATATCGATATATTGATACAGCCCTAATTACTGCATTCAAAGATTATTGTTCTCTCGAATTTATATTATGCATCATATTTGCAAGGTATATAATTATAATCTTCACTAATTTTAACTACATTAATATTCTTAATATTCTGTTTGCTCTGCTCTTATTTTGTGTATTGTTTAATGGACGTTGAGATTGAATACTGTTCGTTATCTCCATATCCTTCTACAAGAAATATTAAACTACAAGAAAGCTGACTGTTGACATAAAGCTAAAGCCCAGCCTTAAAATCAACAGGTAAATTCAGAAGACCTACCTCCTCAGCTGGAACAGATTCTGGGGCCCAGTTCAAATGGAATACATCACTCTTAATGTCTGGACGCATCTTTTATCAAATAAAAAGAATCAAAATGAAAAATAATAATAATCTGCTTAAATTTCATTCCCTCCATATTTTTTATGGTTAGAATATTACTAGTAAAAGTGACAATTTACAAAACCTCCATTAAAATCCTTGACAGAATACACCCCTGTTATATAATATCTGACCTTATCAGCCACACGATCCACCACTTGCTGGATCTTCTCCAACATGATCTGGTCAGCCTCCCTCACTGTGGTGTGCAGATTCTCTTTTGATTCCGTCTCATGACTCTGCTCCACTGCATGCTGTATTTCCACAAAATTCATTGTTTCTGGAAGTTGTTTTAAGGCCCTCCGAACTTGTTCAATGTTATTTATAGTAATACACAGCTGTAAAACAGACAATATATTTGTTTCATTTTGCAGAATTATTATGCTAAGTTAATTGATAAATATACAAGAAAATCATTCTGTAGCTTGTTGTTATAATTTTTTACTCTTGCATGATCTGCCTGTTCTGTGACAACTACCCTTACCTGTCCTGTGAGAACCTACCCCTCTACGTTTTCTATACACCCATGCTTACTGATCTAGGGCACTATTTTTACCAATTTTTTGATAACTTTACTTACCTGTTTTCTGATACCAAATTTTTGCTGTTCTCCTACACCTTTACCTACCAGTTCTATGACACCCATACTATAGCTATTCTCTCACCCCCTTACTTACCTGTTCTGTGACATCAAATTGTCCTTCCTCATCATAATAGCCTTTGTCAATGAGTTTCTGGTGGACCGAGTCGGCATATATCTTTGCACATTCACACATATCCTGTTGATAAACAAATTTTAGGAATTTTTTCCCAAATAAATTCATTTATTTTTGCACTCACAAGTTTTGACAAAATACTATTAACTTAACTAACTGTTCATAAGGTATGCAATCTCTATTTACGTACAAGTAATTCTAGCCTTATTGTTATGTCCTACCTTTGTTAATTTTGAGACCATGGAATATGCATCGACAAGATCAGGCCAGGCAAGCTGTCTCCAGAACTCTGAAATCTAAAAAGACAACTGCTACAGAAACAAAATTCTTGGTAGACAATACAGTACAATCATGCTCATATTTAACTATCAGTAAGAATTCTACAAAGATTTGTATTCAATGAAAATTTGACATTAAATGAATAAATAAATAGTTAAACCTGAGAGAAACAACAGCACACATCAACAGCCGAGGTGCTGAACTTGGCTCCTCCTCCTCCTACATCAGCTGTCTGAAGGAAGAAAAGATTTAAAATCATCATCAACTAAAAAACAATTTAAAAAGATGTTTTCTCCGATCACAAGTTTATTTGCATAATTTATTGCATGTTTCTTTCTTTTAAAATAGTATAATTACCATTCACGGATAAAAACAAGAAAAATCTAACACAAAATAGTCAATGTGCCATTAACACACAATACATACAGTCAATTTGAACACATATACTTAAACAGTACGTGTTAAATGATATCAAATGTTATATAGCAGTGCATTATTAGTTTTATAAATGTGCAATGCTTTATGACACAACAGTCAGACACTGAAAATATTAAAACTGGATAACATGCCAATATCTTAGCAATGATCACATGATTAAAGGGAAATAACTCTGAATTATTACATTTTTGACAGTGCTCTCACCCAAAACAAGTGCACATCCACTTAAAGATACAAACCTTGGATGATAGATGCTGTGTATAATACAGAGATTACAAACTGAAAATTTACAGATTGGACTAATACAGAAAGAACACAATAAGAGAAGTATAGTACCGCCTTACATACAGATATATATGAGGCTCATTTATTTGAGAATCCATTTCCAAAATTTAGATAAGTACAGGTACCAAGAAACCTCACCTTATCAAGCTCAATGGCTTTGTGTATTCGATGGATAGCCTTCTCCTGTGCCACAGAAATCCACTGAGTTACAGCAAAATGGAACCATTTGTAGTAGTGTTCTATTTCTAAAGGGTCATGACTGAAAATAATACATGTATATTAGATATCTGGCTTTAAATCAAATCAGATTTCAAGGATATTGTACTATAAATCACCTTCTATTCACGATAACTTTATTTTCACATGATTACATGAGCAAGTTTGCCCACAAAAATTTCATTCTTGCGTTTATATAGCAATATAAACCATAATTTGTAATTTTGTTTCGCTAATAAAGAGTTAATTAATGACTATCTTACAAAAGTAAAGTGTCACAAAAATTTAGTGATCAACAGTATTAACAGGCCTTTCTGATGTTCATACTTTTCAGGAAGGTGCTCCCATCCATAGTTACAGAACTCTTGTAGAGCTAGGTACAGCTCAAAGTAGGTCGTTCCCAGCATTCCCTCTAATACTTTGTTTCCTTTACTGAACGTTGTCTTCTTCATGCAGTTAGTGAACTCTTCACCGAGCTGAAATACATAACAAAATATCATTTGTTCAGTCAGAAAACCTCATGATGTTCTTTTCAAAAGAATCACTTTTATCTTTATAGGTCAGTAATTCTTATTTAACAAGCATAATAAACACAAATCCTTTTAAGAATTGTTTACAATATGACTCATAATGAATCATCACAAAATTGCCTGGTAATGTAGATGTCACACCTTGGTTAATTAGATTTTCAAAAGCAGTAAAATGCATTTCAATAGTGCCAAGGAAGTGTTAAAACACCAATAAGCATTAAACTCTGTAAGAATAGTAAAGACATAGAAGGGATGTGCATAACTCTGCTTGTGATAAGCTGTTAAAAATCAATCTTCTGGCAACTTTCTGGAGCTAGAAATTGACTGAACCAATCATTGTGGAGATACAATGTATAAGGATTCAAAAACTTGATGCATTAGAACACAAATCATTGACGAGGCTTCAGGAAGCACTGCAGACAAAAACTATTTATCCTTTACATGTTTTAGACATTAGAAAAAAAAGATGACTATAAAAATATTCCTCTTTCAAATTGAAGTCTTCATAAAAATTGACAGAGAGGACCAAGAATAATACATAACTATTACACAGGGGACCTGATTTGAAAAATTACACATTACACTAAATCAGGAAGCTTCCATACAAATATGTATTTCAAGGTCTAGCAGTTCTTAGGAGGAATTTTTATTTAAAAAAAAAATTAATTTTGCTTTTTCTTAATAATCTCTTTTTGAAAGGGTGCTTAGTCTTTCATGTTAAAAATTTAAAATTTCCTTTACCCAAGATTTCTTTGTACCAATTTTGGTTAAAATTAGCCAAGGGATTTTGAAGAGAAGTGGAAAATGTGAAAAGTTTAAAACCAGACAACGTTACTATGATCAGAAAAGTGTGCACTTGAGCAGCTCAGGTGAGCTTAAAATTCTTGGAATGTATCTAGAAAAATTTTACAGCATATACACACATAGAGATAGACAAAAGACTGTGCAACAGGGAAGGAAATCAGTGAAGAAGAGAGCTACACCGACCTCTTCCGCGAGATTCTTGACGACATGACTGGAATGCTAGAGGGAAAAACACAGGACATATAAGCTCTCAAGACACACACAATACATTGGCATGGTTCTGGAATGGACTTATAAACCTTTATACTAAAATAAATCAAAAATTTAACTTAATGTTGGCTTCCAGTCTTTACAAATTAAATATTTACCATTTCCTTATAATAGTCTACAAATCAATTGAATTCATATACTTTGAATATTTTGTTTATTGTTTGACAAGAAAAGAAAAAGAGAATATATGTTCCAGATTATACAGTAGTAATGATTAGGACATAAGCAATACATATACATACATGCTATAAGAGTTAAATGATAGATGGTCAAAGAAAAATACTACTTGAAATGATCTGTTGCAGACTTAAAGGGGAGAAAACTCATTTCAAAGATTAACCAAAAACCCTGTGTTCTTTGTTTCTCAATATTTTTGAGTGTCAAACTCACCAATTTTTCTAGTTGCTTATAGGTAACACTGAAATAGTCGACGTTGGCAACTCTGCAAAAACAAATTAAATTACGCCTTAATTTTTATTCATCAATCATAATTAAATTTTCTAAACTCTCCAATAAATAAGGCTTAAATTTTTCTATAATTAAGTTTTCTTTTGTTAATAAAGTTTCTTTTACAAAAATTCATCTGAACTGTAAAACAACTTCAATCATATTTTAAATACTACAGATGTTATATATTTTTATTTTAACCATAGTACGTACAAGTTAAATATTTTCTGGTATTCGTTGATAGTCCCGTACAGATCAGCATTGAGACAGTTGGTCAGATCAATCAAGCTGTATATAATGTCCTCCTCCTGGTCTGCCGTGTGGCGCTGGAGAAAGAAAACATTGCCTCATAAAACTTTTTTTGGTATACTATCTGAAAGCAGATTTGTATCAAGATTTACCCATATCCTTTGTTGCAGTTCAAACCATACAAAATCAACTTCATCAGTTCCTACTATTTACCTTGGATTGCTTTCTAGCCATATGAATTGCTCGTTCATACCATTCAAGTGTTCCTCTCTGAAGAAAAGAATATGATAAATCAAACATTTAATTACCTCTTAGGAAAAATTCTACAAATGTTTCATATCACCTTAAAAATATTTCATTGGTTTAAGTACAGATAATATGAGAACCTTTGCAGCTGTGATAATTTCTGAGTGCAATTCCTTGGCAAAGGGACACACATATTTGAAGACTTTCATGCTGTAGATTTTCACCAACACTCTGTAGTAGGAAACATATAATGAATGTACCACCAAGGATTCATTTGTGATGTAACAAGAAAACTTGTACTAGTGTAAAAAGTTTGATAATCTTAAGAACTGATGTAACAAGAAAACTTGTATTGGTGTAAAAAGTTTGATAATCTTAAGAACTGAGCCCATTTCCTTATATTTACATTTGCTGATGTCTTTCCTTATATAACAATGCTAATAAAATTGAAATTCAATTTTCAAGGGCGTAATAGAATTTGATCGACTTCATGTCATACCCTAATGAAGCTCTAAAAATGATATCTTATTTCTTAAATAAACACAACTAGTAGAGTACCTACTTGATCATTTGGTGAAGTCGATTCAAAGCATGTTTGTTGCAATAAGGGTAAACCTCTCTACGTTTTTTGATCAAGCTTGTACAGTAGTCTTTGAAGGTGGAAAACGACTCATTCAAACACTGCTCCTGTAATGTATAAGCAGAAAAGAAACCTTATTTCACAAAATCACGTTTCAATATGAATTGAATGCAACAAGCTTTTGAATGAAGCATCGATTTGTTTTGGAAGGAGAATCCATTCTTGAATTTAAGTAATTAAATAATCACAGTACCTCTTCTCGTGACAAGGAATCAGCTGTCCATTTATTGTCCAAGTCTTCTAACAGTCTAAGAAGAAGTTCATAACTAAAGGTATACTCCATGTGCTTCCTGCTGTAGGCCATCCATCTGCTGGAGATATAAAGCTCAATAAGTACTTTGTAGAACAAGTTCATTCCTATTCATGTTCAATTTGACTAAATACATAAGAGACATCTGTAGGTTACATTCGTGATCAGTAACTTAGTTCAGAAAATCATTTTGGATGTTAGTTTCATTGCCTCAATACAGTAAAACTCATTTAGAAGAAACACAGATATTGCTTATTCACGGATACAGTCAAGTTATCTTGGATCCCCACATATATAAATTTAACAAATTCATTATATGGATAAAAAGAATTACTGATATTATGAAGTAATTTCATAGGTCCCAGTGACTTCGTTATAACCAAATTTTACTGTACTAATAAGATCAAGGTAAGTTAACTGTTTTACTGTACTAATATGATCAAGGTAAGTTAACTATATACCAAACTGCCTGTTGAACATCTGTGACATCCCCCTGGATGGCATGTTGATGTAAAATGGTTGTGGCAGCTTTAGGTAAATTACCATTCCAAGTACTTGATGGTTCCTGAAAGGATAATAAATATTACTTCAAGTGTCACCTTATAAAAGTAGAAGTAAATTCTTTTATTCACTAATAGGACCAATATTATGAGGTAATAGTTTCTTATAGAGGTCCATGGGCCACAATGCTCACATTGGTCAAAATGATCTTGCTATTCTACATTAGATTTTTTTACCCCTAAATACTCTGATTTGGGTCACCTATTGTGGACCCTCCTATCCCAGGTGATCATGTTTTGGAAAAAAATTGAATCAGACTATGGAAGAAAGCTTTTTACATAATTTCAAGTTTTCTGACCTGGTTTTATGTGTACAAGACCTATTGTATCAGAATCTGTTAACTAGCTTACCACCTAGAATAAGGCTCTAATACATCTCTATGCAAAATATTTACCTGCAAACTATGGCTGAATTTTAACAGAGACTGTTTACAGTGATTACCGTAATTTACGGAATATAGGTCGATACTTTTTTTCTCAGAACCGCTGGGGTCGCCCAATATACAGAATTCGACCTATTTAAGGCTCAAGTTTACGAAAAATGCCCCCTAATCAGTAAAATTTACGTCAATTTCAAAGCAAATTTGTGCCACTTTTGTAACTTTTTTGATTATTTTTCGCAAAAAAATTAATGCCCCGGTAAACAATAAAATATTTATTCTATAGCTTTCTTACAAAATAAATTCCATTAATTATCCGTTGATGACAAAGGAAAACAACACTGCTTCATCTATTAAATAATTCCTCGACGTATTGTCCATTAACATCATGCGGTATCCATCTTGTGAAGTTAGGAAATCGCAATCGTGTACTAAAAGTAAAACCGCAACGGTATCAAAATTTAAAATACGGAAATTTTTCACAATCACAACTGTAGTGTTTTTACCATTTATTAGTAGCGATAAATTGAAATAGTATATTAAATATTTTTTATTGTCTTATGTTTATTTAAATGTAAAATGAGTGAAATAATTTGTTGCCATTCAATTCCTAAATTTAATTACCAAGAAAAAAAAAACGCTATTCACTACCGTTTTTTTTTTTTATTTTAATTAATTATAATACCGGTCAAACGAACTTATCTTGAATATACCGATACAAAGATTGGCTTCTAACAGAATTTTAATTGTCTGACAGATAAAGGGATTTACTCTGTGTACGCAAAGGTGTTGAACACCTGTGTTAAATGCCTGCGGGGCATGATTAAGAAACCCACGTGCCGTTATAGGGTATTAGTTTTACACATCATTGAACAAAGCCGTGAAATTCATGTTGATAGTCAAATTGTGAATGTACTCTCAATTAAATTTATAAATTAAACTTATAGAGTGTTAATATGATTTCAATTCTTTACTGTTGCTTGATATATACATTCAATGGTCATTTGCGTGTTTTAGCAAATCCCTGGAGAAGAAATATAAAAATGGCGGACATCGAAGTAATTGTCATCCACCGGTAAATAATGTCTGAATAAAATTTATTAGGAATGTGTCCAAGTTGTTCTGGAATCGGAATTACTATTCTTTGGTCTTGGGTATTTCCCGAATTATAGCTGTAAAATAATAACGCATTTACGTGTTATTTATGCCTCTGATTTAACAACAGTGTGAAACTACGGAGGCATTGAACAGGCAAGTTGGAGAAAAAATAAGAAGTTACACAATTCAAAGAAGTTTTAACTACATTTTTTAAAAACTTTATTTAAATGCTATACTCATTAAAATACCTGTTTATTTTCTTGATACGTTCATGTCACGGAATAACCCCGGTAATCTTAGGGGTTTACCTGTTCTGATACGTTGTATCTGTGTAAGAATCTTTAGAAAACAGGAAACAAAGCCTCGTCCTACATAGTAAGTTCGTCCTATCTTAGGATTTTTCAAAAATTAAGGCTGAAAATGAGCCTTTCGACCTATATACCCCATCGACCTATAATCCCGAAATTACGGTACTACAACTCCTCCAATACAGATATTTTACTTGACCCTTTAATTACACAGTAAGAGCCACCCCTACCCTGAGCCTCCTGACTTCGTGCTCGATGAAGAGACAGATGAGGTCCTCGTGCTGCCTGACGTCCGTCCAGTTGTCCTCCTCCTCCAGTCCTCGGTCCTCGCGCGTCGCCAGCTGGAGCCTCAGTTTGATCTCTCCCTGGATGTTAGATTTACTGGATCTGCCGTGTAACTGGAAATACTTCTCCGCTCCTGTCGACGGAATGTCCTGTAGGAAGTAAGATTCATGATTTAAAAGACATGACAAACATATGATTGATTTATCTATAATTCACCCAACATAATTTCCTCCTGACTGTACTTCATCAAAGCCTCCAGTAATAGATTGCACAATTTCAATTCTGCATTACCGAGATATTACCCAATACAGAATGATTAATAATTATGAAATTGATAAATGTTAAGTAATTTTTTTTTTCTCAAATGGCCCGATGCTATTTTCGTCCAGTATATCAAGAAATAAAGTGCGTATCTTTATAGCTTAAAATTTGAAACTATGAATGATGAAAAAAAAAAGAAAAGAAAAAAAGATTCTAAGCAATGCACTGACAATTGGAAAAATGTCAAATAGATTAAAACTTAATTTTCTGTGAATGATTTCTTTTTTTTTTTAAACTAGCCCTATAGCTTCTCTTAACCTTTTTCATTTTAACATTTATAAAACTGTTTGGTTCCTACTTTGATGGGAACTGTGACACAGCCGAGGAAGTCATCAATATCTCCTCCCTTCCTCCTGGGTCTGGCTGACTGAGCCACCTGCTTGAAGAACCTCCCCAGTCCCTTCATACTCTGGACCTCATTCAGCTTCTTAGCAGCATCAATTACTGAGAATTCCTCATCATGGTCCCTAAAAAAATAAGGCTAGGTTTACTGGGATATTCCTTTGCTACTTCTAAAATATATTATACTTTCACTTATTACTAATAAAACCCTCCTATCCAGCTTGAAAGAATGTAGCGGGTATCAAATTGGTGATATTCCAAACAAGAGGCCCATGGGCCTTGTAGTTCACCTGAGTATCATGCGACAACTTTCCAACAATTGAATTTGATTCATGTTTTAAACTAGAGGCCATGAAATTCACTATTTTGAACGAGGCACCATTGCTTATCATAATTATACACTCAACATGGTTATTTTTGCTACTTAATACTCAGAGGTAGATCAGAGTAACAATGAGAAAATGCATTTCCACTTTTAGTGAATTTCAGGGCCCCTGGGTCAGGGCTTCTTGTGTTAGGGCGGGTCCACAGTTGAGCTCCCCATCCCACAGGAACGACTGACCCTGGAGCCACATCTTTCAAAATTCTGGAATTTTTAAAAAATTTTATTTCATTATGCTGTTGATTAATACCAAAGTGCAGATTTCAAGCATTAAGTTATTTCAGACTATGTTACCCCCCCCCCCCCCCAAGTACCTCTGTCCCAGGAGCCAGGAAATTAATCATTTTTGGAAGAAGCAGGTTTTTTTTGTCATAAATATATACTAAGATCATAGGCGTGATACCCAACAACAAAGGAAAAGATTTTCAAAGAATTCATGCATTTTCACTATACATGTATAAACATTAGAGCCTCGCCCTAACCAAGAAGCCCTAACCCAGGGACCCTGAAATTCAAAATTCTCAAAGAGGCATCCTTCCTCCTCATAACTATGTACATAGTTCATTGGTTAAATACTCAGGTGCAGAAAAGAAGAGTTTTAAAGAATTTATGCATTTTCATTATATAATCAATAAAGCCCCACACTAACACCAGAACCCCAACCCAGGGGCCATTAAATTCACAATTTTGGAAGAGGTAGCCTTATTCAACATAACTATGTACTTGGTTAGTTTAATTAATACTCAGGAGCAAAGAAGATTTTCAAAGAAATAATTCATTTTTTACTATATAATCTATATAGCCCCGCCCTAGCACTAGAATCCCTGACCCTGGGGCCATGAATTTCACAATTTTGGACGAGGCAGTCTTATTCAACATAACTATGCACTTGGTTAGTTTATTTAATGCCAACAAACAAAAAAGAAGAATTTCAAAAAATTTATGCATTTTCACTATATAATCTATATAGTCCCGTCCTGGCACTAGAACCACTGACCCTGGGGTCATGAAATTCACAACTTTGGCAAAGGCCGTCATTTTCAACTTACCTATGCACTTGGTTAGTTTATTTAATGCCCAGGAGCAGAAAAGAAGAATTTCAAAGAAATAATGCATTTTCACTATATAACCTGTTTAGCCCCGCCCTAGCACTAGAACCCCTGACCCTGGGGCCATGAATTTCACAATTTTGGTAGAGGACTAAATGCTGATTACAATCATACCAAAAGTTTGACTGCTTGATGTCCCGGAGTAAAGAAGAAGATTTTTAAAGATTGCACTAATTTTAGTGGTTTTTGCTCCACCCCCCAGGCCCCAGGGGGACAGGGACCATGAAATCCACAGTTTTTGTTCCCCTTCACCCATAGATGCTATATGCCAAATTTGGTTGAAATTGGTTCAGTGGTTTCAGAGAAGAAGCTGAAAATGTTTAAATGTTAACGCACGACAAACGACGACGGACGAAAACGGATAGCAATAGGTCACCTGAGTTTACTCATGTGACCTAACAAGAGGCCCAGGGGCCACAGCGCTCACCTGAGCACATCAGGCTTTAATTTAGTCCCCCCCCCCCAGGCGTTCATCATTTGAACAAACTAGAATCTACACTACCTGAGGATGATTCCATATAAATATCACTAATCATAGCTTTGAAGTACTTGAAAAGAAGATTTTAAAAGGTTTCCCTATATATCCCTATGTAAAACTTGGGTCGGCCATTTTGGCCCCACCCTAGCCCCGGGGGTCATGATTTGAACAAACTTGAATCTACACTACCTGAGGATGATTCCACATGAGTTTCATCTTTCCTCGCCCAGTGGTTCTGGAGAAGAAGATTTTTAAAGATTTTTCCTATATATTCCTATGTAAAATTTTGGTCGGCCATTTTGGCCGCACCCTTGCCCCGGGGGTCATGATTTGAACAAACTTGAATATACACTCGCTGAGGATGATTCCACATGAGTTTCATCTTTCCTGGCCCAGTGGTTCTGGAGAAGAAGATTTTTAAAGATTTTTCCTATATATTCCTATGTAAAACTTGGGTCGGCCATTTTGGCCCCACCCTTGCCCCGGGGGTCATGATTTGAACAAACTTGAATCTACACTACCTGAGGATGATTCCACATGAGTTTCATCTTTCCTGGCCCAGTGGTTCTGGAGAAGAAGATTTTTAAAGATTTTTCCTATATATTCCTATGTAAAACTTTGGTCGGCCATTTTGGCCCCACCCTTGCCCCGGGGGTCATGATTTGAACAAACTTGAATCTACACTACCTGAGGATGATTCCACATGAGTTTCATCTTTCCTGGACCAGTGGTTCTGGAGAAGAAGATTTTAAAAGATTTTTCATATATTCCTATGTAAAACTTTGGTCGGCCATTTTGGCCCCACCCTTGCCCCAGGGGTCATGATTTGAACAAACTTGAATCTACACTACCTGAGGATGCTTACACATGAGTTTCATCTTTCCTGGCCCAGCGGTTCTGGAGAAGAAGATTTTTTAAAAATGCCATTAATTTTTAACAAATTCATGATTATCTCCCCTTGGAAAAGGGTGTGGCCCTTCATTTGTACAAACCTGAATCCCCTTCACATAAGGATACTTTATGGCAAGTTTGGTTGAAATTGGCCCAGTGGTTCTTGAGAAGAAGACGAAAATGTGAAAAGTTTACAACGACAACGCCGACAACGACGACAACGACGACGACAACAACGACAACGACGACAACGACAGACAACGGACAAATTGTGATCAGAAAAGCTCACTTGAGTCTTTGGCTCAGGTGAGCTAATAAAAGACTCATAGGCCACAATGCTCATCTGAGTAATTAGGACATTTCTTGTTCATCGCCTAATTAATTTGTTAATTTTCTGCATACCAGTATAATTTTGTCACAATTGCATGAGCCTGAACATTTGATTTACTTGTTGCTGACCATGTACATTTGATTTACTGAATATGCAGCCTTAATTTAACTTTTGACGCTATATGTTTCAGATGAAAGTGACTGCTTGTATTTACAGGAAAACTTCCATTTTCTCCCAATATGATGTCTCAAATGCCATGGATCATGCAGAGTAGTTTTTAGACACAATCCTTAGGTATCTGGAAGTTTTTTCTTGGTCCCCTCAAGTTTGTGATATATGATAGTTTGTAATCATAAAATTTGGTATCCTGACTCACTTACCAAATGTCTAAATGTAGTCTGTCAGAGCGAACATCATCCAGATCACTGAAAAAATAAAATTATGATCAAAGTAACAATAATTTAGAGCTACTTCAAAATATTTCATTCCACCTTTCTTGTTAAATTTCATTAAGGAAAATTAAAAACATTCCTGTCCTTATAGACTTAAGAACCTCTCCCTCTCTTCACTAATAGAAGATTGAGGTCAGATCAAAAACAAAAGCCAGACAAAATTATGGAAGTATGAAAAATGACTTGTAACAACTGACTTCTCATATTACATTAATCTGTCCATAAGGTTATTTAGTGTGTATTCCTCTACCTACATAACATTAATCTGTCTGCAAGGTTATTAAGTGCATCCCCCTCTACCTACAATCTGAACTTTTCCTCCCACACCGGATTGACAGTGTTTGGCTTGACGTCTGTGGTTTTGATCAGCTTAGCTGGCAGGAGTTCCTTCACGGTCTTGTCCTTCTTTTTCTTGGAGAGGGAGAATTTCCTGAGACTCCCCCCACGTTTCTTCTCCTCCTTCTTATGATGGTCCTCCTCGTCGGAGAGGGCTACAGCTGTACTGGAGAGATCCTGCTCCAACAGACGACCCGGCATGATTCCCAGCATGCAATAGGGGTCACTGAAACCTGAGGAAGATTTCAATCAAATTTTAATTGTGCATAATCTATATGAATTAAGCATTGAATTTTACTTCTCACTTTGAAGAAATAGCGAAATAAAATTTTAAAGGCTTCAATGGTCATTTGAGGATTATAGTGTTCAAATAGATATGATAGCAAAACAAGGGCTGATGGTGTTCCCAGTACCCCAATTAAGAATCTTCCACACCAGTTTCAGTTTTTCTGGTCTCATTTTTCTTCATCAGAAGATTTTTAAAGATACATTTCAAAGTAAAATTTTCATTCCCATTTGTGGCCGCTACCTCACTGCAAGGGTACAATATTTGAACAATTTACAATTTACACGAAATCAAGAAGTTTTAATATCAGTTTCAGCTTTCCTGGTTCAGTGGTTCTAAAGATTTTAAAATATACTTCCTGTATATTTCAATATATAATTTTGATTCCCTTTTGAGGCCCTACTCTACCCCCTGGGGTCACAATTTAAACAAGTAACAATCAACACTACTGCAAATATTACCATAGCTTCCATATAAGTTTCAGCTTTTAACTGTCCCAATGATTATTAACTATAAAGATTTTTTATGACCACACCCTAGCAGCGATTTTTTTCAACCCATTGGGAAAGGGGCCGGTACCGGTTCAATTGGGAAAAATAACATCTAAGAAGAACAATAAGAATTTTCTCTCATTTAATCAAATAAAACGTATTTTGCATTTATTCCAACTAAATTACCTATTACTACGTGTTTTAAAGAATAAGCAACAAGTACTTATTGCTTTTTTATCAATGTCCCATGTTTTCCACATTTTTATGCTTTCAATTTGTCAAAATGTATGATACTACGCTGTTTACAACACAGGTCCTGTCAAATTACGACTTTCTCTACTTTCAATTTAAGCAGAAGTGAAACAATTAGTCAACTAATGTACATTGTTTCATTTAAAAAGAAATACGATGTCACCATAGTCTGTTGCTTCACAGTTAAATTGGGAATATTTGGTCACAAAATTGGGAAAAATTAACGTTTTTGACATTGGGAATGGTGCCGTTTATCGGTACCAGTTATATAAGGGAAAAAAAAACGCTGCTCTAGTGAATATCTCCTTGGGACTTTGCCTTTCATACTAAAATAATTTAGAGTCCATTTTACACAAGAATGCTTTTGCACCAATTTTGGGTAAAACTGGCCTAGTGATTCTTGAGAAATTGAAAATGAGAAAAGTTTACAGACAGACAGATGGATGTCAGAAAACAGGCTATCAGAGAATCTCAGCTGAGCTTTCCACTAGGGTCAGTTGAAACATTTATGACACAACAATAGAAATATTTCAATCTAAATAAAAAATTCACTTTGAGCTTTTTGGCTCAGGTGAGCTAAAAAGTTTTCTCCAACACAATTATTCTTTAATGTGATACAGTTTTGATGTACTGCCCTATCAACCAATCCCTTCAACCATATTGCATGAAAGACAATAATAATGAACTTGCACTTGTCAAGAGAAGGAAACTGGTAAGACTTAATCAAAGACCCATCCGGTTAAACTCACATTGGGTCTTTTTATCTAAAACTGACGTAAAATGCCTTAAGTGCTCCAAACCAAAAGAAGCATCCAAACACTGTCCTATTCTTTGTGACACCTCACATTCAGTGTAATATCCATTTTGCCTCCTGGACAGACTTCTAAACTAAGAACTCATCAGGTCTTAATTAAGAGGAACTGATTGGGAGATTCCAGCTGACATCCCCATTTTTTATTTACTTTTAATGACCCCCTAGCTGTACATTATGTAAATGGGCAGGTGAACATTTTGTTTGGAAAATAATCTCTTTTCTTTTCTCAGGAGAAAATGACTTTGCACTTACACATGTACTAAGTTAAATTCATAATTAACAAATGGAAAATAGCATTTTGCAAAATGCATAAGTCTTTAAAGGAAATATTTTTGGACAAAGATTCATATGAAAATGAAATTAATGGCAAATTTCTGGTTTCCATGGATGCAATGTATGCATTTTTCTTTTTAAATACCGTAATGGAAAAAGAGTGCACATTCCTGATCAATAAAATAAGAATGCATTACCATCTGCATCTTTGGCTTCTAAATCTCGAGCTTTGATGACTGTCACATTAAGTATAACAATGGGTGGCTGCAAAAGAGCAACATAAACACATTAATTCACGGAAGAAATGTACCTACGTTAAGTCATGATTGCTTCAGCTGACATTTGACATTTTCTCCTCAGAAACAAGACTCGGCAAAAAGCTTTCCTAATCTAAAGTTTATGTACAGTTGATGAAAAAGTAATTAAAGAACTACAAATATTACCATGTTTGCTTCGTGTGAATGGCTTGTTTTATTTCCTTTTCTGCACATAAAATACAATCACTGCCATTTGAACACACTCAATATTCGATATGCAATAAACTGTTGAACAGCAAGAGCAAATTGTATTGGGATTAGATTCAAGGAGGAAATGTACTGTAATTAAGCAACAACATGGTCTAATATCTGGTCCACAGCTTAAAAAAAGTTTTTTGAGGACAAAAGAAATCAGTAATAATAACAAGGGACTGTAAACTTTAAAATGAAGGTCAATAAAGGAGAAAACATTGACATCTCATAATCAACTCCCACCTTAATCCAGATGGTACATTTTTTTGGTGCTCTTTAGACTTTAATTTAAAATTTATAAAAAGAAACAGCAGTATTAGAAAAGAATTCTGTTCCAATAACTTGGGATCTGTTAATGAAGACACCCACAGTATAACATAAGCTAACTCCCTTGACTTAACTGTGACCAAATTTTTATTAGTTGGCACACTCTCAGGCCCTAAGATGCATCAGAGTTTGATGATCCTAAACTTCACATTGTCCAAGATATATGCACTTCTTAAACAAGTGAAAATGAATTGTTGCAAAGTGAAAAGTAGGTCACCATGAACTACTTTTGGCTAAACATAACCAGGGGTCTAAATGCCAACTGTTAAGATTAAATTTTACTGCAAAGTGGGCAACATATCAGTTTTAACAAAATATCTTTTTATAAGTCTATTTTGCAATAGCAAGAGTCTAATTTTGCTAATACTATGCCAAGTGAAACTTGAGATTTTTTTAAGCTACCATTACCTAAATTCTTTTATATTTTCCTAATTATCCAACTTTGTTTAAAGATCACATCCATATTTTTAGCATAGTTATATAAAACTTAAAGTCCCTAGAGCAAAGATACTTTCAGTTTGTGATAAATCTGATATAAATTGGACAAGGGTTCTTGAAAATGGGCCACATTCCGAATAGGTTCACCCACACTGTATGCCAGGATACAGCATAAGCTCTTCTAGACAATGAATCAAAACAGCTAGAAAGCATTTAACAGCATCATAAAAAAAATCCCTCTCTCTATAATTTACCTTAAAATTCTCCATAAAACTTTGGGAGAAATAAAGCTGAAATTTCAAAAGAAATTGAAATGAGGTTGACCCAACTTTGAGTTTGTGCTGTATTTGGTGACCTACCTTTTCCTCTGTGGCCTTTGCCAGCAGTCGTGCGTGGTCCTCGGGTGAGATTCTGAAGGCTTCCTGGGCATACTGATACAGGTCCTGTATGTAAGGCAAATGTCCACCTGCTGTAGTCCCTATCTTGTGCTTGATGGTGTATAAAACCTCAATGTACAGAAGCTCAAACTGCAAAAAGAAAGAAGAGAGAGGCAATTGCTTTTAATCATTATTCTCATTCAAGAGTGTCATCCTATCTAACTGTTGCTTTGTTTTGAGAAAAGGTATTATAATAATCTATGTCTAGCCAAAAGTCAAGCAATTGCATCATGTATAATGTTTTTTTTTTCTGTTTTGATGATTTACATAAATAAATTTCTTAATTAGTGAATTCTTTGATTAATAAATGTAAAGGGTTTCAAATTTAAATGTTATATTCTGCACTCAGGACCATTGAGCAATGGGCACTCTTTACTGTACCAACACCTACCGAGACATGGGACTTGGGATGTTAAGGTCCTATTCAGAGTTGTTTATTGTACTCTGCAGTTTTCAGTATTTCAAATGGTTTATTTCTATCAAATTTAACTTTTTCGTCCATAATTTATTGTTGGCAATACATTGTTATTTTCTATTAATGTAAATAAAACTTTTGCCTTAGCAAAGAAGAAAAAAAATTAAATATATGAAGATTTTAAAAGCCATCTGAATTTGCTATGAACATAACTGTTAGTAAATTTCCAATTTTTATATGCAGCAGCAGCAGCAGCAAAACTGTAAATTTCTGTAAATCTTATAATGCCCCTGGTCCCATGAATTTTTTATGAATTATGTCTTCCCATTATGACCATATTGCTGATACTAGCTGGCTTACAGACTTAACAAATGTGGAAAGCTTTAATCAATCCCTGTACTGCCATAATTGAGGCTTATTTAGCTGTAACATTTTTTTCTTGATTTTTTGCTGCAGCTGTTAACAAATGCAATATCTTACAAGAGGCCCATGGGCCACATCGCTCACCTGAGCACTGTGGCTAGGAAAAAGTAGAAAATTGGTTTATTATTGAAAAGTTTTAATCCAAAAGAAGTCCCATGACCAATCATGGCTTTACTATTCTTGAGAAGATGATTTTTAAAGAATTTTTCTATATATTTCTATGTAAAACTTTGGTTGGCCATTGTGGCCCCGTCCTACCCCGGGGGTCATGATTTGAACAAAGTTGAATCTACACTATCTGAGGATGCTTCCATATAAATATGACCAATCATGGCTTTGTATTTCTTGAGAAGAAGATTTTTCAAGAATTTTCCTATATATTTCTATGTAAAACTTTGGTTGGCCATTGTGGCCCCGCCCAACCCCCGGGGGTCATGATTTGAACAAATTTGAATCTACACTACCTGAGAATGATTCCACATGAGTTTCACTTTTCCTGGCCCAGTGGTTCTTGAGAAGATTTTTTTAAAATGCCAATAATTTTTCACTAATTCATAATTATCTCCCCTTGGAAAAGGGTGTGGCCCTTCATTTGAACAAACTTGAATCCCCTTCACCCAAGGATGCTTTGTGGCAAGTTTGGTTGAAATTGTCCCAGCGGTCCTTGAGAAGAAGTCGAAAATGTGAAAAGTTTATGGACAGCTAGACAGACGGACAGCTAGACAGACAGACAGACGCCGGACAAAATGTGATCAGAAAAGCTCACTTGAGCCTTCAGCTCAGGTGAGCTAAAAACTCCATAAACTCTTTCGCCTAAGAAAAGTCATATGCTATGGACCCATGGCAATTTTTATCACAAATTGGTTTTAGCTTTATGGCCAAGGAACTTCCACCCATACATCAAAAATTCATTCATGCCTATCAAAATTGTCAATACAAAGTTTCATAAACACAGTCTCCCTCTGAATACAGAGAGCAAAACATTTCCAAACTAAATGCTGTCATAAGACATGTAAGACAGAATATGATATGGTAATACTCGCACATTTAAAAAATAAACAACGTTATTTAGTGAACATGGTGTTATGAATAGCAATTGCTCTGCTGGCATATTCCATGATGCGCCCTAGCGCATCATGGAAAATATGCCAGCAGAGCTATTGCTATTCATAATGCTATGTTCACTAAATAATCGTTGTTTATTACTTATATTTGCATTCTTTGATGTTGTCAAGAATATCAGAGGAAATCCTGGCTTACATATGGATGTGGCTTGTTGTCTTCAGTAAAGAAAAACACACGGCTATAAAATTAGTATATCTGATCATTGCACCTTTTCTCTAATAATCACAAACAATTTATAGTCTTTGCTTCTTAATCACAGTTATCTGGATACAAGCTGCGCCATCATGACACAACCCATCTCCTAATTTTTGTTTTTTTGATTCAGTTAATTGTGACGTCACCGATCAACGTTATAGAAACCCTCTGACAAAAATCAATAATTTAACCTTATGATGAAAAAAGAGAATGCTTTAATGATAACTCCAGAATGCTTTTCTATATGATTTTTTAAAAAAAATTTCTATTTATTTTTAAGAGCTGAAATCGTTCTTGAAATAGACATATACTGCTTTTCCTGAATGTTTCGTATCCCAAGTATGAAGAGTTATCGTTCTTTGTACAAATATGCAAAAATAAGATAAGAAAAAATAAAACTATGGAGTTATCTTCAATTTTTAAAAGGGTTTATATTACAATTAAATACATTGACCAAAATCAAATTTTTAAAGATGATCAATCAGCAATTTTAAATTGTTCTGAATTTCTTTTTTTCCAAAAAAAAAACATTATTAAAAACTTATATTTATTCCTTTTACGAAACATTTCATATATATACTTCTCAATGTAATATATATGTGTATTAGAGCTTATTCTACACGAGTGTGATAGAGCAATTGCACTCATTACTAAGCAGAAGCAGTTGCGTCTATAGTCCTATAAATGCAGTAGATGGCTACACGTTCATAGTGGGAGAGAGCAGTGGATATACAAATATAAGTGTTTGCCTCTGAACTCCCCTTTCATCCTTGATAACAAACCCACAATATCTTTCTACATAACTAACACAAGTTAATTGATGCAAAGCATCAAATCGGCCGCTAACATATTTAACATGTCAATTTTAAAACAGAGCTTTCACAATTCAAAGCATTCGTGCAAGATAAGAACACGATATTCAAAGCTGAAATAGTGATCATTTTTATTTCAGGCCGTCTTCAAAGCAAAATTATTAAATAATATTTTTAAAAATTTGATAGAAATTTTAGTATCATGCATGCTGTTCAATCTAATTCAATGAATAAAATATATTTTAAACTAGACATTTTAGTGCATTTGCTTATCCAGTGGATTTATCGATGTAAAAAAAAAGTTCAATGCCTATATAATGTATATATTTGCAAAAAAAAGTGGGGGGGGGGGGGAACTACCCCCCCCCCCCCCTTCCCGGTTCCGACGCCTATGAAATGATAAATGATTGTCATCAAAATGAATAGGTATGCCTTTCAAGATAACTGATACCCTTGGATGTATGTCACGCGATAATGCCTATATGGTTCCTGCAGAGTAGGCTATGTTGCATGGTGCGGTGCGAAATGTATAAAAATAATATAAAATGTCATTAACAGCTGTAGGATTTTCAAACATATTTTTACTAGTTGAGCGACTTTTCATTCACCATGCACTTTTACCACGTGCACTTCATTATTATCCGGAATATCGTAACGATTTCCCTTCGTATCTTACACAATCCCTGGATGGGGAGTACCTGTTGTAAACTCTCTTTATTTAACCATTAATTATCAATTATCTGATGCCAAATGATAATGAAATCGAAAAAAAATAAATACGATTAAAACCTAATTTAAAGCAAGTTTTTAAGATATTTTCCTCATGATTTAATACATGTTATCATTTGAGAATCATTTAACTGAACTTATAAAATAATAACATCTCATTTCCCCATGTGCACTTTCTAACACAACCACAAATAGATCGGCCGCTGCTGCGGCCGATAATAAAATAGATATTTGTGCATTAAAGTTCTTTCTTGGAATGTTAAAAAAAAATCAAAGTACTGAAAGCACTCATGGGAGTTGAACATGGTGTAAAATAAAATCTTTGATCGGGTGGTTAAGTAAGTGATCAATATTATTATTTCAAATACAGTCAACTGTTTCAGATTTTTTGAGTTGCAACGATCTTGAGAAAGACATTCAGAGACAATGAATAGCAAAAAATGCATGGGCCATAATGCTTGCCTGCCTATATTATTCCTTTTTTTTTTTTATACCCCCTGCTTGAAAAGCGGGAGGGTATTTATTAATCGGGATTTCCGTCCATCTGTTTGTTATGCTTTAGGTATATACATCTCTTATCCGCAACTCCTCTTACACCACTGAACGAAATTTTCATAGAATCTTTACATATTGCCGTTGTGAACATTCTATTACTTTTTCATCCTACACATATTTTGAGTTTGCCATTGCAGAACATGGACACTGCCTTTATATTCATATCAGAGGCGGTTGATCATTTATATAATTCACTGCTCAAAGTCTTCAAATTTGTAATATATTTTTCCTTGGCACCTTTACCCACATGTTATGAAAATTTCAGTTCCGCAGGAATAATTTCAATGTTGATAAAATGTGGATTTTCACACAGCATCCTTTAAAGAGCTAACAGGTTTGTTATATTAAACTTCTCTGTGAATAGAAATGTATTTCAATTACACGAACATTATACATGGAGTACGTCAGAACTTTTTTTAATATCGTGAAGAAAAAAGCAATACCAAGTTAAAAACAAATATTTAATGAGCAAACATAAAATCAGTGGTATATGTGAGAGTTTGTGTGCGTACAAATTATCTAGAATGTAAATGAAGTTTTCCTTTTATTAAAATAAATACTTCATTTTGTTGTTTTTAATCGCGATTTTACAAAAACATCGGTGTCCGTTTTTGGTTTTAACATTTATAACAGAGTACTAGATTTATCGTTTTTGGCAGGTGATACTGCTGATTTAGTAATAAATACGCATTTTTTCCTAAAGTTTTTATGAATTAATGAATTCATGTAAACCAAGAAAATGTTCCTGAAAAGTTTGAATAAATTCTGTGCACCAGTACAAAAGAAATTGCTAAAAATCTGTGACCGTCGGGCATCGAGAAGACTAGATTTACCGC